CTACAAAATCCATCTTGAATGTAACACTTAGATCATTTGCTTGGTCCGACCCATTTAACATAGGCACGTTTGACTTCACATCAGCAGAACAGAGTTGGACTTCCGACCGAAGTTAATTCAGGAAAATTGGCTACATTGATGCTCAACACTGAGGTGTGAGTCTGCTCATCAAATAATGTTTTAGTCGTAAAGGGTCAAATAAAAAGGCAATAGTAAAGATATATTTCAGAAAAATCATGCATGATGTGTCATTAAAACGTGAAAGTAGGACCTTCCTGTAATTCTATCCCTGCTGCCACCTTCTGGTTTAGAGGAGAACTGCTTGTTCCATAGATTGTGAATTATATCCATATGGGAATAACAAATCGCCTGGTAGGGTGGCCAATGATTGGCCCTCTCTCTAAATCCTCCCTGGGATGTGTCACATAAAACTTTTACGGTTAACCTCCATGTTTTAATCTCAGTAATCTGTAAAGACCTCAGAGTCTGTTAGAGGAGCCCAGACCAGAGGACACACCCAGTGTGGGAACTTTATTATTGGAGGGGGCATTTTTACAGACAACCACTAACCTGAGATTGGGGACGGTCGTTCACCTTTTAGCAGGACAAGAACTAGACATACAAATAGGGGAATGTCAGGATTTTTAATATTATTTTATATTAAGGCATATTAAAGTATTACAATGCTGAAAAAAAAAACATCCAAACTATAAAAGTCTACTTTTGGAAAGCATACATTATTAAAAAAAAGAGCTGCAGCTGTGGTTATTCAAAGTGGGCTAATGTGGACTAAGATCAATGTTCCATCTAAAAAAAAATTAGATTTTATTTGATGTGAAATAGAAACTGTGCATTATTTTTCTTTAACCCAAAATAATCAACTTTATTTTGGTTTGTAAATTCTATGTTTTGTTTTATCTGAGGTAGGTGGCGCCGTCCTGCTGGTGGAGTCGCTGCTAAATGAAGATGGGTCTGGCCCACTGACAGCACAGCTCTACTCCCTGAACATGCTGGTGCAGACGGAGGGCAGAGAGAGGACGGGTGCTCAGTATGCTGCCCTGCTGGCTGCCAGCGGCTTCACAAACATCCAGCAACGCCTCACTGGAAAAATCTATGATGCAGTTATGGGTCACAAAGAAAAGAGCAATAAAGATAAATAATACCACCTTATAAACATTCAAATTTCCCACATTCCATTGAAATGCATTCAATTAGTCTGATTGAAGTTAACAATGAATAAGTTTGCAGAGGTGTCTAACTTTTGCTTTTGTTGTAACATAGATCACCATTTTTATTTAGGTAAACCTAAATGCATTTATGCAAATTAATTTGTTAGTCTAAAGCTGAAACAAATGTTTGTTGGCAGAAAAGGAGAGCATTTTTGAATAAATGGCCTAGATTCTTTTGAGCTTACCATAATCAAAATTTAAATCAACTGATGCCACAATATTTTTACAAAGCATCACTATTAAAGAAAGTGCCATCTAATGTGCAAAACCTGAGTTAGTAAATATGGAGCCACAGCATCCATCCATCTACTGCGGGGCAACTCTCTTATCCCTTCAGGGGGCCTCGTACCTATATTTAGCTCCCATCATAGGACAACATAGAGACATGAAGGACAAATAAGCATGCACTTACACCTAGGGACAGTTTGGAGACCAATTAACCTTACATTCATGTTTTTAAAGGAGTAGGAGAAGGCCAGAGTACCCGGAAAGATCTAACATTATTAGGGGAACATGAAAACTCCATGCAGAGATTCGAACCAAGGACCTTCTTGGTGCTACCAACTGCAATACTGTGCAACCTGACTCATAGTTTGTGTAATCATCTATTTAGTTCTATGACTAAATAAAATTCAGGTTTTAAGCTGGTAAAAAAAAAATCTGAAAATTGTTAAATTCAGAAAGAAATAACCAGACTTTAAATTGATAATTATTATCGTTAAATAAATGGTTGTATCATCTTTATACTAGAAAACTTTTGCTGGATGTAAATCCTAAACAAGATTATTTACGTGAATAAAAACAAACAAAACAACAAACAAAATAAACAACTGCTCTTAAGATTGTCCCATAGAGAACACCTGTCTTCATATATAAAGGTGCAGATTGTTTTTTTTTTTGTTTTTTTTACAATAAAATATATTTAAAATACAACAGAAATGCCTTGAAGGACTTAAAAACCCACTCAAAGTCAACAGTTCAGACTTTCTTAAGGAAACATGAGTCTTTCTGTGTTTATCGCCAGGTGTTGTGTCTCTCAGCATCAGCCATAGTCACATACTAACAGATTGCATAACATCTTTGTAAGAAAGACCTCACTTTGACATTTTAATGCCACAGGATCTCCAGAAAAATATATAGTTAAAGGTTTTGCTGAAATATAATATTTGTCAAATGCATGAAATGCTGTGTTTCCTTTTGTTTCACTGTAGACGAGTAAAGAATTGAAGCTGCTGGTTGGTCACATCCTGTCTGGATTCTGCATGTTTCCTCTTTGTCTGCATGTTAAAAGATGTGGGTGGTGTTTTTTTTATATAAATTGGCCGTCGGTGTGAGCGTGCAACGCTTTCTGTCTCTTTGCATTAGCCCTGTGTACCTCACCTCTCACCCATTGTCAGCTGGGACACGCTGCAGCCCTCAGGCTTCTTTGTGAATAAAGCCGATATTGCTAATGGAGAGTGGCACAATAAGAGGCAAAGGAGGAAGGTGTAAATCTGAAACAACAAGCTATAATCTCCTCAGAAAAAAATAATACATCTTTTATTCTTTTTTGAAAAGTGAATGATAGAACACCAACTAAATTCTTAAATGTGACGTTAATTTGATTTTATTTGGTGATTCCATTCATCCCTTTGTTTTAAATGAATGGTTCATGGGGGGGATACAGAATAAATTCAGTCATACAGACTTAGTCTATTTTTATTAACATTCCCATCTGCAATGTAATCTGGTACAGGCTTCCCCATGCATATATCAGAGTCCCTTCAGACTGTTTTCATTCGCAGTTACACAAGTGTTGATTAAGCTGTGTTCAGAGCAGACCTGTTGTGCTCTCTGGCATTAACAACATCTTGAAGAATTTTGAAAACCTTCTCTTAAACACTTCTAGACCGAACCTAGAGATAAGTATTTCTATACTCTGCTTCATCTAGACAGAGTTCTCATATTGTCATCATCCCTGTTGAATTTAAGCTACCACACTTTTAGCTTAGAATTTTGCTTTGCAAAAAAACCCTCCTTAAATCAAGGCAAAATGCTAAAATTTAAAAAATAACCATGAGAATTCTCTGAGGACGTCTTTTATGAAAGTAATTGTTCATACTTCCTGTTCATACTATTTTAGGTTTGCATGTGATAGAAAAGGGATTCTTTTCTTTTCTAATCATTATTTTATTGATTTGGTGGGTGGTGAACAGAAGGCCGGCAGTAAAATCTCAAAATATTACCAACATCTTCAGTCTGCTTAGATGGGCTTCTTGAAGAAGATAGACAGAATATAAGGAAAACCTTTAATAATGTTGCCTGGCAACAAGAATGACTTTGTCTCTTTCCTAATCCAGACTCTAACCCAAAGAGCATTCTTGAGATTATTTCTTATTCAGCTGACATCAGCCGTAATACTTTGTTAAAGCTGGCATAAAAATGATGTTATTTTCTCACTTTTTTCTTTTTTTTTTTAGATCTTTTCCTTTTTATCACAAATGAATATGCTATATATGAGCATGTAATGCTCTTCTGCATGTTTTATAACAATGAAATAAAATAAAATAAAATCCTCTCATTACTTAAGGCTATTATTAACTAGACATTTTTGTAAAATACTCAGAATAATTTATAACATATTTGGTTTATTTTATTTTGTACTGCAAGAAAGAAGACAGAAAAGGCAATCTGTTAATAGACAAGTGTCAAGATGTGAGTTCAACAATTAATAATACAAATTTTGGAGCCATGGTGTAAGAAAGCTATGCATTTAAAATGAAGTCTTTTTCAAAGCACAGCAAGTTAATTTAATGACTGTAATAGGATATTATGTACCAGTTTAAACAGTAAACAAGATTAGAGGATTATAGTAAAGTTTGATTTCCAGATGGGAGCTTTGACCGGATACAGATTTCAGCTGACTCCAATTCTTTGTAAGAAAAATTTGTATCAACAAAATCATTGTTACTCTGTCTGGGTAAGTTGAAAATGTGTATATTTAATCCACACAGTTCGAACAGTAAGATCAAACAATGGTAAAAAAACAAAACAAAAAAACATTTAAAATATAAATTTTTTCCCTCTGAATAACAAAAAATCTAGAAACACATTTTTCAAGTTATGGAACAGTTACTGGTTCAAAAAAAAAAATGAGTTAAATGTTAAAAATGAGAAACATTCAATGTATCTCATTTAAACTTAAGCCTTTAATGTGCAGGATAGTGTGGAATGATATGAAATCTTTTTTTCTGAAAGGAAATTCAATGCTTTGTTTTTTTTCTCCTTTTTGTTCCATTGACAGAAAATCCCAAATGAAATATACTACCTTTGAAAACTTGCTCTTTTTTCAGTCATTGCTTCTGGAAATTTACCTAAACACAAAATCGCAACTAAGTACAATAAACAAAAAAGCTTGTATAACAATTTTGTAGGCCCTGCTTTAAAAATGTTTGCAGCTAGTAGCATTACACAATGAGCTACTGTAGTGTGTAATTTCTGAGTATAAATCAAAGAAAAAAAGAGCAACAGGAAGCGCAAGAATAGTCCTGGTGAAAAAAATATCCAGAAGTTTCTCAAATGAAACCTTCATAAAATAATTTAAATTAATTCAAAAAATGGATTTAGAACCTGGCCCTAGTCCAGAGGTAACGTTATATCAAGTAGAGAAAGAGCAGTTGGTACACAGCTCTGCCGTTAATCAGGATTTCACTAATATAATAAATATAATAAATGATACGTATTATCACAAAGATAAACCTTTTAACCGTCTTATGCTTAGTTTTCTAATGATTAATATTGTTAGAATTAGTTATCCATTAAACTCCATGCATCCACTTTTTTCCTGAAGAGTAATAACTAAAACCTCATGTAACTCTAAGGTTTTCCATCATTTATTATCTAGTAGGACCTCCTTCAGATGAAATCGGACCCTTAAAAAGAATAAAACAGCATTTGTGGCAAGGGGAGAGGCAGCCTAGTAGTTAGGGCATCGAGCTTGAAATCCTGTGGTTCTGAATTCTAGTCCCACTCCCACAGACTGCCACTCTGGGTCTCTGAGCAAGACCCTTTATTCCACACTGCTCCCTGGGTGCCACACGATGGCAGTCCACTGGGTTAAATGCAGAGGTAAATTTTTCCAATGTGAGATCAATAAAGTTCAATTATTATTAACTTAAATTTCCTGTTTCCTGCTGATGACAACCAACTAGACATTTACTGTTTCAGTTTTTAAAACAGTTTTAAACTGTCCACACTTAATATGTAATATGTAACCTTGCTTGTAAGCAAATAATCTTGCAGTATTTGTGAGTTCATAAACACACAACAATCCATTTTATATTGCTCCAGCCAAACGTTCGAGTCTGACCCAAAACATTTCAGCCAGTCAAGTTGCAATATTATGGTTTAAGGTTTAATAGCTGCTACAAAACCAAGATTACAGTAGAACTGCTTTATTTAATGTTTACTTTGCAATAGGACCTAAAATACAGAACCAGATGCAAAACGGTGAAAACGTACAGCTAAGGAAGAGAAGAATATGATATAGAGTATAGACTGCTGGAGGTTTCTTCCTGTTAAAAAGGAGTTTTTCCTCTCCACTGTCGCTACAAGCATGCTTAGTGTGACTGATAGCATTCGAGTCAATGAGTTGATGCAATCAGCTGTTTTTCCTTAGACAGAAAAGTTTGAATAAATTTTACTGTATGATTTGGTGAATTGTAAAATGTCTTGAGATGACGTGTTTAGAACTGGTGCTATATAGATAAACTGAATTTAATTGAATTGAACTGGAAACAGGAAATAGCATAGGGAACACCCAGGTAGAAGCCAGTGTTGAGGAGTGAAAAATAAAGAGTTTAAATACTGCGGGAAGTATGAAGAAAGAAAGATATTGCATTCAGGTGAAAAAAAGAACAACAAGGAAGGTGAAGAGCCGAGAGAAAGAGAAACTTCTTAACAGAGAGGAGCTGAATGAAGGGACAAAGAAGATGGGGGAAGAATCTAAAAGAGATCTTGAATCCAAAAAAATAAGACTAGACTAAAGAATGGATTAATGAACTAACAGATAAGAGATTAACTAAAATGGAAACAAGTGGAAAACAGAAATAACAGGGAAATGATCGAAGGATGCATAGAATTGAGGAAAAACTCAAACACCTGGGGATCATAACACGTCCTGATGAATTCAATTCAATTCAGTTTATTTCTATAGCGCCAATTCACAACACATGTCATCTCAAGGCACTTTACAGTTCAACCAGATCATACAGTCAAATTGATTCTTAGGATTTAGTTTGCTAATGAACAGCTTATTTGTGCTCATTTCTTTTTTTTTCCGATAAACTGCTTGTTTAAAATTTTTGGTCTATTGTTCAGGTTTCTTTTTTTTTTATTTTAATGGTCGAACAACCTTCTTAATATCCAAGAGTAAAAAATGCTAATCTATTTAAATTTTCAAACTAATTTTAAGGGATGTTTCTTAGGAGTGCATTAAAGACATTTAAACCATGCTTTGCTCTGAGCCACTAATATCGATTTTGGTAAAATAGCGACTTCCGACTGTATTTTACTCTGAATTCCATAGTAAGACTTTCTGAAATAGCAACAAAGTGTCAATTTCAAAGCACTAAGACAACTTATCCATCCCTCCATCCATTTTTTGACACGCTTATCCCTGCTGGCATTGCGAGGGGTGCTCTCGTCTAT